TAACCAACTGAGGCACCCAGGTGCGCCCACCTGAAATATTCTTTATCTTCATTTATTTATGTCCTTAATCTCCAATGACCTGGGGAATGACAAGTAATGGAAAAGAAAGGAAAGCAGAATCAACACCTTGTGCAGCGGTCTGTCCAATAAAAGAAGCAAATTCAAATCCGAAATAGATATTTGCTGAGGAGCTCATCCCTTAGGTGTTTGAGGAGGTGCCGAGGTAAATATCAGCGTGGGCTCTTGTTCTGTAGAGACACTGAAGCCTGTATGTTAAATATGAAGAAGCTTCGCCTGCTTCAAGTGTTCCATTGTGGAAAGTGCCCGGGCTTGTTTGTCGTTGTTTGGAGGGATGGGTTATGATTCTCCCAGAGTTTTCCACAGCAGGGAGAGAACATCCAGGAGGCGGTGTGTTGTGAAGGACACCATGTGGAACTGGGAGTCTGGAGAGTTGGCCTCAGGTTCCACCTCTTCCCCAGACTGCCCCGTAAACCTGAAGAAAACGTTCAACTTCTTGGTTTCCTGGAGTGTGTGTGGTGAGAATGACCAGGGTTTGAGTGGGTTTGGACAGCCCGGTAGTGGGTGGGCTAGCAGTTAGAGGCCAATTCTAGCTCAATATTAATGAGTGAAAATAAGCACCACCTAAAAACAGGAGAGTATCATAAAAAATAAATATTCGGTTGTTTTTCCCCAGTTCCTGGTACACAGCTCCTGACACCCTGGGAATCTCCAGAGTGCTAAGAACGTCTTTTATATGGTAATGACTGTGGGGTGGGGGCGGTGGGTAAGTGGCTGCCGGATGGCCGCTGGTTGCCTGAAAGGCCAGAGCACCATTGGAGGGTTGGACTTTCAGCCCCACCCTCTGACCTCCAGGGAGGGGAGAGAGGCCAGAGGTTGAGATCAGTCACCAAGGGTCAATTGTGACTCAGTCTGGAACCTAAAAAAAAGGGGGGTTGCTCAGAGGGTTCAGAGGACTTTCAGACTGGCAGCACATCAGGGTGCTAGGAAGGCAGCATGCCTGGAGAGAGCATGGAAACCCTGTGCCCTTGCCCGATGCATTCCTTCCATTGGGCTGTTCCTGAGTTTTAGTCTTTATAATAAATCTATAGTAACAGCAAGTAAAGTGTTTTCCAGTTTTGTGAGCTGTTGGAGCACATTATCAAAGCAGAAAGGGGTAAGCGTTTTTAGAGGAACACCCCCCCCGCCCCGTCTTGGTAGCCAGGTCTGACAAAAGTGGGTAATTTGGGGACCTGGTGCTTGTAACTGACAACTCAAGTGGGGGCAGTCTTTGGGACTGAGCCCTTCTGCCCGTGTAGTCTGATACTAACTCAGAGTAGTCAGTGCTGGAATTGAATTGAATTGTAGGACACCCAGCTGGTGTCCACAGAGTTGAAAAATTGGTTGGCTTGAGGAAAAAACTACACTTTTGGTGTCAGAAGCCTTGTGAATAAAAACAGCTGAGCTGTACGCTTCCAGTCTTAAGAAATGTTCTGATACCTAGTCAGCCAGCTCTGGGCCAGGCTTTGTCCAGCACTGGAGACAGGCTTGTGAACAGACCCCGTTGCTTACAGTCAGTCACAGGAGACAGCCAGAATTTCAGCGTGATTATTTGATTATGTAAGGATAGCCCTAAGACGTGTCATGAAGGAGGACAGGGTGACTTGAGAGTGTCAGACAGGATCTGATCTAGACAGGAGTTCAAGGGCAGCTCCCTGAGAAATTGATCTTGGAGCTGGGATCTGAGGGCCAGTCATGAGTTAGCTAGCTGGGAAAGGTGGAGGTGATATAGGAAAGAACATTAGGGTTCAAAGCCGATGGCCAAGAAAGAATTCTTGAGACGTCTTTGGTGCAAAAAGGTGATTTTATTAAAGCACAGGGACAGGACATGTGGCAGAAAGAGCCGCACTGGGGTCATGAGGAGTGGCCCATTATATACTTTCAAGTTGGGAGGGGGTTAGGGATAGCATAAATCTCAAAGGAATTTGAAGGCAAGGTTTCCAGGACCTTAGGAGGTCATATGCTTGGAGCGTGGTTGCCAACATGTATCTTGGGGAATAGAGATGAAGATTCCGAAAGAATTTTTATATGTTAAAGTGGGCTTACAGAATCCTGGGGCCAGTGGGGGGAGGGGAGAGATGGTGGGTTAGGATTGCCTGTTGCCCTTAGCAAAGTGTCAACATCAAGGCAGTTGAGTCCCTAGAAGAATGTCACTCTGCCTGTTTCAAGGACTTGTCAGTGGGCTGTAAGTAGTAAGGAAATTTAATAATTTTTCTTCTGCCTCTGTTTCCCCTGGGACAGAAGAGAGATGGCAACGTGCCCGCTGGGGGAAGGCAGAAAGGGTGAATTGCTGGTGGGTATGGTGAGCCTCTCCCCTATTCATTCATACATTCATCTGTCCATTCATTCAGTCATCCAACAAACCTTGACTGATTACCTGGTCTGGGCCAAGTACTGTTCTTGGTACTGAGGACAGAAGAGTTAGGAGCAAGACTGACAAAGTCTCAAGCCTCATCACTCCTGCTGGGTAACAAGTCATTCCCAAACTTGGTGACTTAAAACTGCCGTCATTTTACTGTTATCCTTGTGATCTGGAGGTGGACAGGGCCTGCTCGTATTTATCACTTGGGTCCCACACAGTTATTCAGGCACTGGCCAGTCTGGAATCACCCAAATGTTCCCTCATTCACATGTCTGAAGCCTGGGCTGGGAAGCCTCGGACATTTGGGGCTTCTTGGGCATACCTGTCTCTGGGTGGCCTCTCATGCAGGATTTCTAGTGTGATCACTTCAGGGCTCCAAAGCCAGTAACCTAAGAAAGACTGAGCCAGGTAGAATCTCATGGACTCTTCCAACCTGGTCTCTGAGGTCACACAGCATCATTTCTGTCCCATTCTATTAAGGTAGTCCTGAGGCCTACTCAGGGGACCCAGAACCCCCTCTTGATGGAAGATGGGACAGAAGATTTGTAGATGTGCTCTAGAACCACTACACCCTCATGCTCTGCTCTCCCTAGCTTTTCACACTTGGCTTATTTTTTTTTTAAGATGTATTTAGGGGTGCTTGGGTGGCTCAGTGGGTTAAAGCCTCTGCCTTCGGCTCAGGTCATGATCCCAGGGTCCTGGGATCGAGCCCCACATCGGGCTCTCTGCTCAGCAGGAAGCCTGCTTCCCCTACCCCTCTCTGCCTGCTTCTCTGCCTGCTTGTGATCTCTGTCTGTCAAATAAATAAATAAAATCTTAAAAAAAAAAAAGATTTATTTATTTGAAAGAGAGAGAGAGAAAGCACACACACACACACACACACGTGTGAGGAAGGGGAGAGAGAGAGAATCTTCAAGCAGGCTCCATGCTGAATAGGGAGCCTGACACAGGGCTTCATCTCACAACCCTCACAACCTTGTTCATGATCAAGCCAAGACCAAGAGTCAGACACTTAACCAGTGGGTCACCCAGACAGCCTTCATCCTTGGCTTTAAACTTACCTGCGTGCCTGAGCTCACCAGAGCCCTCCAGAAGAGATAGTCTTATGGCTTGCATCCTAGCTCCAGCATGCCCCTTAGGGGTCCCACCTTCCTCCCCTGCCCCAAATAGCTCCAGAAAGGTATAGTTTTCTTTATCTCTGGCTCTTTCTTGCGGGGAGGGATGTTGGTGCCCCTCGTGGACTGGCACTCCAAGCATTTGCCAAGCTGACTTTCCTCCTAATAGGGTCATTGGAGGACATATGTGGACACAGACACCAAGGCCCCCAGAGCAAGGCACTTTTGTGGGGCTAAGAGATGGCTAGGATGACTGGAGGGCTATAGTGTGGGGCTGAGGTGCACCTGGACTAACACTGGGGCCTTGGAGGCCACGGGCAGGGTTTGGTCAGCCTCCTAAGGGCATTAGAGGAAACTGCTAAAGGCCCAAAGTTTTGATCATCACCTGCTAGGGAGATTATAGAAGACACTATGATCTCACTTATATGTGGAATCTTAAAAGAAAAAAAAGATGAGATCATAGATATGGAGAAACAGATAAGTGGTTGCCAGGTGGGGATGGGCAACAGGGGTGAAGGGGGTCAAAAGGTACAAACTTAAGGTTATAAAATCATTAAGTCATGGAGATGCTTAGAGTGGATCTTAAAGGTTCTCATATCAGAAAATAATTGTAACTATGTGTGGTGATGAATGTTAACTATGGTGAGGAACGTTAACTGGGCTTATTGTGGTGATCCTTTTGTAATATGTGCAAATACCAAATCATTACGTCTTGTGTCTGAAACTAATATAATGTTATATATAAATTATACCTCAGTGAAAAGAAGACAACAGACTTCTGGGAAGAACAAGATTTTGCACCGTGTTTTTAAAGTAACCAGTTAGAATGATTTCTTTTGCTTATCGAAGACTTTCAGGTGTGTTGCTAATTTCAGAAGAGGAAGCATCAGTCTTGATCTGGTTAAGCACGTTATAATAACGTCAGTGATTCCGCAGTCTGGGGTTAGTTATCACAGAGTTGGTGGGCGGAGCCGATCTTCTGTAGCCAACAGGGCCCACAACACTGTCAGTGGAACCACCGTCTGCAGAAAACGTTCCTACCATCGTGAGGTCCCGTAACACCCAACTGATAGTGCGACAGTCACAGATGAATAGTGGCCAGTGGATAACCAGGAAGCTTTGGAAGATGACTATTACAGGATAGCTCTTTGCTCTTTTTAGTAGACATACTCAGAATCTCAAGTTAGAAACTCAATTTTATGAGGACAATACAGAATAAGTATTCGTTCATTTAGCTTAAGTTTGTGGAAACTGATGTGTAAACAAAGACTGTGGCCACCCCAGTGCTTGGCATTCTCAGAAGCACAGGTGTGAACAGCTTCTTCCCCCACGTTTCTCATTAAGTACCACTGACCTTGTTTTTTTGTTTTGTTTTTATTTTTGTTTTAAGAATGCCTAGTGGTTTACAGGTAAGCATGGCCCCCTCTGGAAGACTTGAAAGGGCCTACCATCTACCAAGTGACATCTTTGTTTCAAGGTCTCTGCCTCTCCCAGCTTCAAGTTAGGTTTCAAGGTAAGTACCGTATTCCCAATGACAGAGTGATTTAAAGATGCAAATGACCAGAACTCCTGAAAATGTTGCTTGGTAATAAGTTTATGGGACTAGCCCCAATCTGTGCATGTGAATATTCCTAGAAAACTCTTGCTCCAAAGCAAAAAGAAATTAAGCATTTTTGAGCTATTATGACTTGGGTATTTTTTTTTTAAAGATTTTTATTTATTTATTTGACAGAGAGAGATGACAAGTAGGCAGAGAGGCAGACAGAGAGGAAGGGAAGCAGGCTCCCTGCTGAGGAGAGAGCCCAATGCGATGCGATGCGGGGCTTAATCCCAGGACCCCGGGATCATGACCTGAGCCAAAGGCAGAGGCTTTAACCCACTGAGCCACCCAGGCGCCCCAACTTGGGTGTTTTATATATATTATTTTGTTTAATACTTTTCAAAAGCCTGTATATACAGAGAAGCATTAGGATTTATGTTAAGCTGCTGTAACAAATTCCTAAATTGCAATGGCTTGGCACAATAGATTATTTTTCCTATATAAAAGCAGTCCAGCTTGGCTCCAAGACAGTGGTATTGAGGTGGGGGTTCATGAAAGAGGTGGGACCTCTGCTCCATATAGAGATTTGGGGACCCAGGCTGCTGGAAACTCAGTCTTCTGTGGTATGCTGCTCCCACATGGGCTTTTTTTCCTTTGGATTATTTTATTAACACTGCATATTTTTGTTTCCTTGACATTAAGTTATGTCCCATTTTCTTTGCTTTCCAGTTTTATTGAGATATAATTGACATAGAGCACTGTACTAAGGCGTGCAACATAAAGATTTGGTATATGTCTGTATTGTGAAATGATCACCACAAGTTTGGTTATCATCCATCTCCTTACACGCTTACGATATTTTTTCTTGTGATGAGAACTTTCAAGATTTACTTCTTTTTTTTTTTTTATTTGACACAGAAAGAGAGAAAGCTTATAACAAACAAGCAAAGGGGAGCAGCAGAGAGAGAGGGAGAAGCAGACTGAACAGGGAGGCCGATGTGGGGCTTGATCCCAGGACTCTGGGATCATGACCTGAGCGGAAGGCAGCTGGTGAACTGACTGAGCCAACCCCGGGACCCCTCCAGATTTACTCTCTCAGCACCTTTCAAATATACAATAGAATATTGTTAACTATGGTCATTGTGCTATCCATTACATCCCCAGGACTTATTAATCTCATAACCAGAAGTTCATACCTTTTGACCACCTTCACCCATTTCCCCTAATCCCCACCCCTGCCTCTGACAGCTGCCAAACTCTTCTCTCTTTCTATGAGTTTGGCTTTTTTAGATGCCACATATAAGTGAGATCATACATTATTTGTTTTTCCCTGACTTGTTTCACTTAGCGTAATGCCTTCAAGGGGCATCCGTGTTGTTGCAAGTGATAGAATTTCCTTCTTTTTTTAATGACTGAATAATATCTCATTATATATATATTCCACACTTTATCTGTTTATCTGTCGATGGACACTTAAGTTGTTTCCGTGCTTTAGCTACTATAAATAATGCTGTCATGAACGTGGGGTACAGATATCTCTTCAAGATACTGTTTTTGTTTCCTCCAGACTATACCCAGAAGTGGGATTACTGGATCATAGAGTAGTTCTATTTTTAATTTTTTTGAGGGACCGCCATACAGTTTTCCACAGTGGCTGCACCAGTTTGCATTCCCTCCAACAGTACACAAGCGTTCCTCTTCTCTGTATTCTCACCAACACTTGCTACCTCTTGTAATATAGCCATTGTCTTGATGATAGCTGTTCTAATAGATGTGAAGTAATACCTCAGTGTGTTTTTGAATTGTATTTTTTATTTCTCTGGAGATCAGTAATGTTGAGCATCTTTATGTACCTGTTAGCCATTTGTACATCTTTGGAAAAATGTTTATGCAGTCCCTCTGCACAATTTTTTTTTAATCAAATTGGGTTTGTTTTTGTTTGTTCTTGCTGTCGAGTTGTATGAGTTCTTTATATATTTTGGATATTTTATTCTTTTTGATGAAATTGTAAATGGGATTGTTTTCTTAATTTCACTTTCTGAGAATTTGTTATTCGTATATAGGAATGCAACTGATTTTCTTACATAGATTTTGTATCCTGCAGTTTTATTCAGTTCATTTATTAGGTCTGACAGCTTTTTGGTGGTTAGGTTGTTATCCCTGCAAATAGAGGTAGTGTGTAGTGTTACTTCTTGCATTCTCATTTGGGTATCATTCATTTCATTTTCTTACCTAATTGCTGTGGGTAGGGTTTCTAGTACTATATTGAATAAAAGTGAAAGTGGGCATCCTTGTCTTGTTCTGGTCTAAGAGGAAAAGCTCTCAGCTTCTCACCGTTGTGTATGATGAATACCATTGACTTTGAGGCATTATTTAATTACGGTTTTAACCTAAGCTGAATCAAAGTTTTGGAGCTTAGAACAGTGTTAGTCCCTGCTTTACTAGAAGGGAGTTTGGACTAATAGCAATTCAGATTCCTTCCCAAGCTAAATGTCTGATTGTGTGTGACAGTGCTCTTAGCTCTGTTTTTGTAGAGTTTGCAAGTGCAAGTGAGTTTGCACTTTGCAAAATGCAAGTGCAAAGGAACACCCCCCCCAAAAAAAAGTTTTGAGAGCTTGAACCAGAGAATCCTTGGATTTCAGGTACATGGAGCATCGCCAGCAGGTAACTACCCACCTTGACCATCTCCTTGAGCAGGAGGGCTCGTTCTGTACTGACACGGAGGCTGCCAACCTCCCACTGAACCATCCAGAAATTTTCTAAAACATATTTTAAGGGCATGGAGTTCCTGCCCTGGGCGCTGGCAGTGATGGTCCACAGGGGACCTGAAACTCTGTGCCTCATCATGAGCGAGTCATGGGATGAGCTGGCATTGAGCACCGGATATGGTCAAAGCTTTGTAGGCAAGTGTGCTTCGAGCCTGAAAAAGGCCTCGTTGGGCAAAACACCTTGATCTGTAGCATACATCAGTGCCCCCATTCACGTGTCTATCCAGAACAAAACCCCGTTTCTGTGTAGTATTGTTAACCTGGAAAACACAGATTTCAGAAAGCGAAGGGGCTGTGGCAAACTGCACTCTCAGGGGGCCTGATTCACATTGCTGGGATTTGCAGGCCCTCCGAAGCTCTTTTTATTTTTTTTGTCTATAAAATTTGGCTTTTACCATGCAAACCTTTATTGTACATATGTATTTCTCATTTTACAGCCCTGCCCGTTGAATGTTTTGTGCTTTCCTTGACACCGCAACAAACTTTTAAAGGAAGTTTTTTTTTTTTTTTAAAGATTTTATTTATTTGATGTACAGAGAGAGAGAGAGCATAGCAGGGGGAGCAGCAGGCAGAGGGAGAAGGAGAAACAGGCCCACCAAGCACCACCCAGGCACCCCTGTAACAGACTTTTAATTGACACAGTTTGCTTGCAAAATAAATAAATCAGCTATATTTTGGGGCACCTGCGTGGCTCAGTGAGTTAAAGCCTCTGCCTTCAGCTCAGGTCATAATCCCCGGGTCCTGGGATTGACCCCCGCATCAGGCTCTGTGTTCATCGGGGAGCCTGCTTCTCTTCCGATCTCTGTCTGCCTGCCTCTCTGCCTACTTGTGATCTCTATCAAATAAATAAATAAAATCTTAAAAAAAAAAAAAAGAATCAGATGTATTTTTTTAAGTGGCTTTGTGATGAATAAATCGTGCCAACTGCATGTTCTCCCTTTTTTTTGTTGAGGTACTTACAGCTGCTCTTGACATTCTAAGTCAGAATAAGCCAATTTCAGATGTCGCTGCCGCTGCAACTTTAAGAAGGAACTAAGTGGTGAAGCTGGATGGAACCCAGGCCTCTCCCACAGTGTCGGAAAGAGACCACTAAGAAGTACGTAAGATTGGAGATCCTGGCTTGACGAATTAGTTATTTCAGTCTTTTCCGGTCCTGAGAAGTGATCAGACCCCTTGACAAGTTTATCCTTTGTAGAGCTCGGGAAAAAACCTCAAAGGAGAGAGTGGCAGGAAAGTAGAGTTCAGAAGTGGGGGGGTGAGGTCTTTAATATTTCAGGGATAAAAAGTACTAAATCTGTAGATTATCTGCCTAGATCCTTTCTGGAAAGAAATGGTAGGTAAATAATTCATGTTGCATATTTAAACACATAAAATATGGAACAAACGGTCTTGTTGGTAGGACACATGCCACATGAGGGTGCCGCTCTGCTGTTTGTCACTGCGAATTATACCTGAGTGTACCAACACTGGTGTTTCTTAAACATAGAATTAGGACTGTATGTGCTTTGACTGCTAAATCTGAAAAGTCCTGGTACTGCCATTATTTTTTAGAATAATCGTGTGTGTTGTCAAATCTTCTCCAGTTGTGGGTTATTACAGATACCCCCTCACTCCTTGTTTGTAACAGAACTCTGATTCTGTGCAGTTCTCCACCGTCTCCCTTCCTCCATGGACCTCTGCCAGAAAGGAGGTGAGCCCCAGTTGGTTTCACTCCATCGTGGTGGTCCATTCCCGGTGCCGGTGATGAGTTTGCGCACGGGCTCGTGACACCGTCCTGCCAGTTAGCCGTTAGGGGAGGTCTGCTGGAGGATTTCTGGGAAGGCCTTCCTTGCTTCCAGTAAGCATGCGCAGGATTGTCCCTTTCCCATCTGCAGATTGCCCAAGGTGACGTGATGCCCGAGAGCGTGGCCACCATCTTAAATCCCTAAGGGGAAGTCATCCTAGGGATGGAACAAGGACAGGATGGCAGAGTCCAGAGATGGAAAGGTGCTGGCTTCCTGATGATGCTTCTGGGGCCCTGAATTAACTAACCTTGGAGCCGCCCTTCCTCACACTCTGACTCATCATATGAGAATATGACTGAGTCTCTTTGTGTTCAAGAGGGTTTTCTGTTACCTGCAGCCAAGCCATCTTCACAGATGAATAAATAATTTAAGATAAAATAAAAAATAAAGCTCAAAAAGAACTAAGGTTATCACAACTCATCTCTATCATATCTAAGGTGACATTTTAGAGTATGTGAGGAGATTTTTCTGCCTAGTGCAGTTTGTCATGAATTGGCTTATGTTTATTCATCACTGCCTACAGAGGCAGCCGCCATGAAGAGGACTGATGTCATCTAGGGCTCATGGCAGGTTCTAGTTAGGATATGGGTTTGACTGCTTTAACAGAAGTGAAATAACAATGATTTTAAAAGGTTGTGAGATTGTTTTTTCTCTCCCAAAACAGTTTGGGCTGGTAGACAGTCAAGGAAATGGGTAGTCTGCCCCATGAGGCCATCCAGGGTTCTTCTCTGATATGCACTAGGATGTTGTCTCCATGGGTGTCAAGAAAGCTGGCTTAGCTCTCCACCAGCGATTTAGAGCATGGGAAATGGCAAAGGAGGAAGGTCAGAATGAGGTGGGGCAGACAGCCTCTTTTTGACCCAGAATTGCTTCTGGTACTTCCAATCACAACTCATTGGCCCAGATTTGATCATATGGCAACAGCTGGTTGCAAGGGACTCTGGAGAATATCCTCTCTAGCTGGGTGGCCGTGTATCCAGCTAAAATCTAGAGGATTCCCTTAGGAAGAAAAAAGAGCAAATAGACAGCGGGAGACAGAGATATCTGCCACATAGTGTGTCCTCAGCAGGAGAGAGGCAGCACGGAACAAGGAGAGCAGGCTGGGTGCCTCTCTGATTGTGAAGCAAGGATTTGAGTCACAAGAGCCAGTCTCCCGGAGCAGCCTGGAGCCTTTACCAGTTCTCACCTTCTCTGGCCTCTCTCCTAGTCAACCAAAAGACTTGAATCAGGTGATATTTAAAACCTCGCCCAACTCTGACCTTCTCTGGCAGGGTCCCACAGGCATGCTGCTTCTAGAGTGGGAGCAGAGATGAAGGGGAAGCAGGGTCAGTACCTCATATGTGGGTTGTGAGTATTAAAACCATGAGAGAAGTCACTGCTGACTCACTTGGCTTTTAGGAGCCAGGTACTGTGCTGGGTCCCATACACCTGCTAACCTCACTAACCCTAACCCAACATGTGACGTGGAGCCTGTGGTTGTTCCCATTTCATAGATGGGGAAACTGTGGCTCCATAAGGGTTTAAGAAAGGCTTGAGCCCCAGCCAACTGATCCCTGAGCCCACATGCTTAACTGCGTGTTGTGGGGAGGGCTGGGACATGACGTGGGATTTGTGGGGTGTGGCCTGATCATAGCGAACCGTGCAAGGAAGGCCAAAGAGCTTTGGGCTTGATGCTTGCCTTTATCCAGGGCCAGTTTGGGGATCGATCTGTAGCATTGGATGGCCCCCCACACCATTACCCCAGAGCCAGGAGATGGCTACTGCCACTTCTGTCACATCTAGGCAGGACGTTGTCATGGGTTACATCACCTTTTCACTACCCCAGGGGAGAAGACAGGCTGTTCTTTAGGAGAGAGTACCCTGGTGAGAAAGGAGCCCTGGGAAGGTCAGCCGTGGGGCAATGTACGGAATGTTCAAGGGGAGACACACCATGTACTCTATTGGCATCCTTTAAGCTATTGCCCCTGTGCAAGGAGCACAGAGGCCTCTGACCTGCTCCTGTCCTCCCAAAAGAGGCTGGGGCTGGGAAGACACAGAGCCCTTGCTCCAGAAAATGAGGGTCATTTTCAGGAAGTCGGCCTGTCCCTTAAGCTGGCACTGATTGGTGGCAGGGATCCTGGGATGACATCCTCCTGCTCCAACCTGGAAGTCAGTGGCTCTGTGCCCAGAGGGGCCTCCAGGGAGGGAGTAGGCATCAGTGCATGTATTTTCTGGTGCGCTTGGTGATAGGCCTCCTTGGGGTCATCAGGGAGGTTGGCCTGGGCAGGGGGAGTGAGACCCTTGCCCCTGGGTAGATAGCTTTTCCCCGGGCACAGCAGCCCACTTCTCTACTGTGGCTCCTGACACAAACAGCACCCCCCCTTCCTCATTACCCCCCCAGCAGTCAATACAGTCTCACTTGGTGCTGTCTCTTTGGTTCATTCTGTTTTCCTAAAATGCAATTATAAATACACCAGCTCCAGTCTGCTATTCAAGGCTGAGCTCTAGCTGAGCCTCTTCAAGAGAGCTATCCTCCCTCTCTGGGCCTAGGTGGGTCTCCTCCCCATCTCGCTCCTGCTTATGCCTCGTGGCACTGCTTTCATGTGGTGTAATGGTCCTTTCACTCGTGGTCCCACTGACCAGACTGTGAGCGTCCTTTCTTTATTTTTTTTTTAACTTTTACTTTCAAACATTCACAAGAGCAGAGAGGATCATACAAGACATCCTCAAGAATCCATCAACTAGTTGTCAGTTTTGCCAGCAGTTGTCAGCCTTTTGCCACTCTCGATTTATTAATTCCCCTTCCTGCCCCCCCTGCTGAATATTTTAAAGCATTTCCTAGATCTTGTGTCATTCTCCCATATATACTTTTGAACATTTCAGCTGTGAGCTTCAAGATGGCGGAACTGCATCCTGAATCCTGTGTTCTGTGCCCACTCAGTGTGGCTGATGCCTGACACATACTGATCTTAAGAAAAGAAATAATGTTTGTTTGTTTTTAATTTTATTTATTTATTTGACAGAGATCACAAGTAGGCAGAAAGGCAGGCAGAGAGAGAGAGACGAGGAAGCAGGCTCCCTGCTGAGCAGAAAACCCGATGCGGGGCTCGATCCCAGGACCCTGAGATCATGACCTGAGCCGAAGAAAGAGGCTTTAACCCACTGAGCCACCCAGGCGCCCCAGAAATAATGTTGCTTGAATCGACTGACTGACTAAGGGTGTGAATTGGTTTCAGCCTTTAGAACTGAGCATGCGTCCTAGCTGGAATTTGAGTAACTGGAATGTGTGTAACTGCTAGGAACCCACAGCCTCCTTAGTGTCTGCCCTGCTGCCTGGGAGTTTCTAAGAGGTTCTGAAATCTGTCCATCAGTCCTCAGACTTTTAAGGTTGGTTTATTTTGAGACAAGCATCTTTGATTTTGCAATTAAACTCTACGTTGAGGTGACATTGGATAGAGAGGACTGTTATGACGTAGCTTTTACCTTTGCTTGGTTCATATTTAGTTCACAATTATAGCCTTGGGGTTTTTAAAAAAATTAGAACAACATATTTACTTAGGCCAAGGTGATTAAGACCCCAAAAATCAAAGTATAGAATACATCTAAAGTGTTTTCTTTAATAACATCTTTCTATTCCTGGTAATAGCATTTTAACTACACAAGTAAGAGATAATTAAATACATATTTTTCTTCCAAGCAGTTGTGGTCACGTTTAGAACCCTAAATTCTGTACACTTTGAAGGAGACCCTGAGACTAGAGTCATTAGACATGGCATTTCCCACTCTTACGAGGTAAAAATCAGGCCAGACCTTGGGCTTTTGGAAATCTCTGGGGGTAGAATGTTGTTTGTAAAAACACCTTTAACATGTTCCCTTTTCCTCTTAATTCAGAAATGGTACTTACCATAACGGGAAGAACCTATCAACTAGTCCTTTATCAAAATTGTATTCTAAAATATTTCCTTTCACCACTCAAATCTACTGTAAAGTTAAAGTTGGCTGGGTTTTCTATTTGTTTTATTTTTTACTGTTTCATCAGGAATTCGGAGTAATAATTCTATTTCTGGATTTAAGATATTTTTACTGTGTGGGTTTAGCTCTGGGACTAAGGCTATGCCCAGTAGACATCTGATGACTACCAGTTCAGCCTGGAACATAAAACAGTTGTTTCTACAGTTGTATTTATAGGAGTTGGATTGGGTTGTGATGCCATATTGTGTCTAGAGTGCCTTTTCTTTGGAAGGTGGTGGGCCTTGAGAGATGTCAGAGGACAAGGAGATGTGAGTACCATGCTGAAGTAGGTCATAGTCCCAGCCTCTCATCCAGCGGCTGT